ATGACACACTTCCGGTGATGTCAGGGGGTGTGGCCTTATGACACACTTCCGGTGATGTCAGGGGGTGTGGCCTTATGACACACTTCCGGTGATGTCAGGGGGTGTGGCATATGCTAATGAGTTATGCTAATGAGTTCCCTAGCTCTTTTTCTACGAAACGACCCCTGGTCATGGCTATTCTGAATTGCTGGGGGAGGGGTCTTGACCATATTGTGAGAGTTTCATCCACAGGCCTGTTCGTGTCACAAATGCATCAGTCTTTCGGTAGGCTCCCTGAATTGGTGTATTTTGATACACTACTGCACCAGGAAAATATTTGCTTTTAAATTTGTGTCAAGACAGTATTAAAGGCCAACAGAACAAGTGGCAATCTTGGTACTAGTTAGAAACTAACACCCCCCCTCCCAGAAGGGAGAGGGCTGAAGGCACAAGAACAGAATGACAGTTAATCCCCTAAATTTTTTCCAGCAAGATTCAAATCACAAACCTCACAAAACCCCTTGCTTCTTATGGCTTCTCTTACCCAACCCATCCCTGCATGAAATAGTCCAGTTTCTGGCTCCTGAGAGAGGCATTTAATTTAACGGTAAGAAAAGAGAAGTAATGCAATAGGGATAGGGAAGAGGGAAAGGGAAGGCAGGGGCCAGAAGAAGGAAAGTTTTATTCTCATCAATCCTGGAAAAGGGACAAAATCAGCATTGCCAGGGGGTTCATAATTCCCATAAACACACAGGTCCATGGTGCGTTTAAACTGGCAAGGCATTTTAGCTACGAGGGGGGTGCTCAAAGCTAGAGCCCACCAACCACAGTCTGAAACGGTATACTGCATTCTACCCATGCAGCGCTTTGTCGCCTCACTTCCACCTCCTTCTCCTGTACATGCGAATTTGCCTCTCCCTGTATGCGAGGTAGCGAGCAGCGTGTTTCTGAGCATGAAAAGAGTGCCTTCCTCCCCCTGGGGCGGGGTTTCAGAGGCAGGAAGAGCCCAGTATCTTTAAACGCTGGGGAGTGGGGTGGTCAGCTCGCCCGAAAGGGGGAAACGTGCTTTGCCTGCCGGCCCCGTAACTCACTGCGCTCGTGCGGAGAAGTCCATGGCAGCCTCAGCAGAAGCAACGTCAGCCGCCATCTCCACCGCAACGGGCGAAATACATTAGAATTCAAATCGTCCCGCGCAGTCACATGGGCATCCTGGCTTCTTCGGAACTGGGTAGCGTCACCAGCAGGGGAGGCCAATCAGAACTAAGAGCAACAGAGCTCTCGGCCTGTTACAGTCATTGGAATGGGGGGGAGGGGCATAGAGGTGCGCACGACTCTCACTTCCGGATTTCATTCAATTGCCCCCGTAGCGTATAGCGTGGAAAGAGGGAGGCGGTCTACTCTCCATTCCCGCACTCACTCCCCCCCCAAAAAAATCTCTAAGCGGCCCTTGCCAACTGGTTGCCTCCTCACATTCATACCTGTAAATTATAGCACCCATGCGTCGTCGAGTGGTGTTTCGTTTAGGAAGGGAGATCTAGGTCCGGCACACTTTTTCTCGGACTTGCTTTTATTGACTCGGTTTAGCAACCTGAGTTTTTACTGACAGAATCACTTCCTTTTGACTAATGAATGAAAAAGGAGGCTGTAAAGCCAGGGAAGGAAAATAACCCTGCATAGTCACAATTTTTGTGCTGTTTTCCTGGCTTCTATACAACTTAGAAATTGGTGCCTTTTAAAAGAATTAGACCAATCCGTACACTGTATGTTTTTTACAAGTGACTTATCCCATAGGGCTGTTTACAGGAGTTATTGAGGCCTAATCTGTACATGCAAGAAAAACAAGCTGGTAGAACGGATTACACCGATCAGGATGCGGGTAAGAGGCATTTCGTGCATTTATATAAGTAAGCTATCAGTCTTCAGTGCTCAGGTAACACATTTGAATGTTCTGTTCCTACTAGGAGAAAGGGATAAAATGTGCTAGCTTAGCCTTTTTCCTGCTTTTATGGTTGTCTCCTTCTAGGGAGCCTCTTGTTTTCGTTTGTGTTTTGTTTTTTGGGACAGAAGCAATGATCACCTGATCTCTCCCTCCTGCAGTCAGAAGTGGTGTGGTCCGTTTTACCACCTTATTCTGCTACAGATTCAGCCTGAGAGAATGTAGATGAAGTACTTCCAACACTAAAAAACGAAAAAACACTGCTTAAACTAGTATTATTAAAGCAGTAAACTATGAGAAGAGAAATGCATTCTGCACATGCTCAGAGATTATTTGTATACATTCTTGTTTGCCTTTCTTGCTATGTCAGTTAAATACATATTAGTCCCGCCTGATATGGTTCATTGGTGCTCTGCCTGAAAACATGACTATTGTATCTTATCATTTGTCACCTTTGGGGCCCTCCAAGTGAATTGCTGTCTCGCCATGCATATAGACTCACCACTGAAGACACTACTTTTAATGCATTTAATGAAGTGCATAACAAGGATTCTGGGTTCCGGGGAAGTATACGTTGTGGCCCTTGCCTTGCAAACTTCCTCAACTACCCTTTGCTTGTGTACAGAGCAAATGCATTTCAAAATTGTTACCATATTTAATAGTATAACATGCTTTCTCTCCCCAGCCCAGACTTTATGAGATTTTGGTAAAAGTATGTTACATGACTGCAACAGGATCCTCCTACCCATGTTCCCCAGCAACTGTTACAGATATGTGTACTGCCTCTGATGCTGAAGTGAGTAGATATCCCTCATGGTTAGTAGCCAATGACAGGCTCATCCTGCATGAATTTGTCTGCATCCCTTTTAAAGCATTCCAAGTTGGCAGCCATCACCACATCCTGTGGCAGTGAGTTCCACGGCTTAAGATTGCACTGTGTGAAGAAGTCTGTCCTGATTCTCCTGCCTTCAGGTTCAGTGGATGATCCTGGGTTCTAGGATTATGAGAGAGGGAGAAAAGCTTCTTCTTGTCCTCTCTCTCTACACCAGTGTTCCCTCTAAGCTGGGTTAGTGTGAGCTAGCTCACCGTTTTTTAGCCTCCGGCTCACACATCTTCGTCTTAGCTCAGGAAGGACGGCTCCAGAGGAAACTTATTTATGCAGCAGCCAAATCGCTCGCTCACAACTTTAATGCCTGGAGTTCACAAAGTAGAATTTTTGCTCCCAGGATTCCACAGCTTAGAGGGAGCATTGCTCTACACCAGGCAAAATTTTATAGATCTCTATCATGTCTCCTTACTTTCCTTTTTTTAAAAAGTAAACTGCCCTAAGCATTTTAACCAATTGCTCTAGCCCTTTGATAATTTTTGTTGCTCTTTTCTGCACCTTTTCGTGCTCTACAATATCTTTTTTCAAGTGCAGTGACCAGAACTGTACACAGTATTCCAAGTGTGGCCTCCCCATAGATTTATATAAAGGGCAGTGATAGTGGCACTTTTATTTTCTATTCCTATCCTAATTTCAGCCAGCATGGAATTTGCCTTTTTCACAGCAGCCACACTCTGGGTTGACATTTTCATTGAGCTATCCACTATCATCCAGAGGTCTGTTCCTTGGTCTCTTGCTGCCAGCTCAGATCGCATTAGTGCATATAGAGATTTTTTTTGCCCCAATATGCATTACTTTACACTTTCTCATGTTGTATTTCATTTGCCATTTTAATGCCCATTCCCCCATTTTGAAGCGCTCCTTTTGGAACTCTTCACAGTCTGTTTTTGCCTTAACCACCTTAAATAATTTAGTATCATCTGTGAACTGGCCACGTCAGTATTCACCCCTGACGCCAGGTCATTTCTGAACAAGTTGAACAGCACCAGTCCTGATACAGATCCCTGGGAGACTCCACTGCTCATATCCCTTAAAGTAAAGGTAATGGTAAAGGTTCCCTTGCTCGAAAGCCAGTTGAATCCGACTCCAGGGTTGCGGTGCTCATCTCCGTTTCAAAACCGAAGAGCCAGCGCTGTCCGAAGACGTTTCCGTGGTCATGTGGCCGGCATGACTAAACACCAAGGCACACGGAACGCTGTTACCTTCCCACTGAAGTGGTACCTATTTATCTACTTGCAATTTCTTGCTTTCGAACTGCTAGGTTGGCAGGAGCTGGAACTAGAGACGGGAGCTCACTCCGTCATGCGGCAACTCGGGTCTCGAACTGCTGAACTACCGACCTTCCACAGCCCGCAGTTCAGCGTCTTAACCACTTGAGCCACCGCAGCTTAAGATGCCCCACTTGAGCCACCATCCCTTAAGATGCCCCAAAAGCCACTGGGATGAGAGCACAAAACTGGCCATTTTCTTTTGAGAATATGAAAGCCAGCCGCTAATCATCTGCTAACAGCATCAGGCAGCAAAGCCCTCTGGGGCAACTGAATAGCTCCAACTTGCCCTGTGGGCATAGGGCTATTTGATCTGGTTGCCTGTGGAAAATCATACTAAAGGATTCTTGGCTTGCTTGTTGGTATTACAGTTACTTCTGTATCACTTGACTCCTTTGGCCAATTTTAATTTCCATTTTTTTCCACAAGAGGGTGGCAAACAATAAGGATTTTTTAGATATCTCATAGTTTCACACTGCTGCCTTCTTTCAATAGGGTTAGAAGTTGTGAAGAGTCTGGTTGAATTTGAAGTACTGCTTGTTGCTGATAATGAGAGAATTAACATTCCTCCTCTTTTCTTAAACTAATTTTTTTTTAAAAGATGCCAGTAACAGTGTATAATGCCTTTATAAAATATTTTAGATGATAGTCTTAAACAGAGGAACTTTATAATCTCTGCAGTTCTAAAACACTAGTGAGGTAACACATATAGAACTCAGTGGGACTTACTGCTGAGAAAACATGCTTATAACCATGCTATACATCTAGAAGTTATAGAAAGAGACTACCATCCAACAGAGGGTTAGACACTTTTATGCCCAACCAGTTTAAGAGCATATGATTATCTGCTATATCAAGACCTAAATCTGTAGCTGTGAGCTAGATTTAATTTTTCTTAATTCCACAAAAGCACAGAGCAGGTGACAGAATTTGAACATATCAAGACAATAATAAACGATTGTGCTACCGTTTAACAGCAATAGTAAGATAAATTTTAATAAATAAACAGCCTCTGTGATTCTTTGGTTATATTACAATGAGGTAGTATAACCAAGAGGAGGCTGCTGGTTCAAATCTCATCTCAGCTGTAGGGAGCAATCCTAAATAGGTCTCATCAGAAATAGGCCCCATTGTATTCAGTGAGGCTTGCTCCCAGAACATTGTTGTCTGGTTTGCAGCCACAGTCTCACCAGGTAGCCATGGCTAAGCCGTTCCTTCTCCACCTCAGTCCCCACCTGCAATATGTAGTTAATATTGGTCTACTGTACAAGGCTGTTGTAAGCATTACTTTGATGATGTATGTGAAGTGTTTGAACACTGTAAATGCTTATTATTGTTGTTGTTGTTGTTAGCTCAGTGCAAATTCAGCAGTTGGCTGCACATTTTGGTGCTTACATTAACACTTTGCAGTGTGACCTCTCTTTTATTCATTCTGACATTAACTCTGCCCAGGAACACAGCAAATGAATTTTGACTGTAATATGTATATCTGATGAACATCGATGGTGCAGTCATCAGTTTTACTTGCATTATGTTTCAGAGCAGAGTTAGGGCACATAGAGTGGCTCCTAATGTTAACATTTCATTTCCCTGCTTGTGTAATTTAATGCATATGTTCTGTTCTGCACCGTTTTGCTGTTCTATATCAGAAGTGTTCCATACAATCAAATTCCCTTACATGGAGCAATTTAATTTCACTCAGCTAGTTCAAAGTAGGCGATTAAGCAATTAAATATTCTTTAAAAAAAAAAACACAATTTTTATTATAGGAATATTACATCACGTTTGACATCTAAATATTATAATTGATACATATCCCTTTTCCTTCCCCCCACCCCCTCTTCGTCAGGCTTCCCGCAGTGCTCCCACCCTCTCCCTTATAACTTTTCTTCTTGATCTTCTTATCTTTAACAAAAACAACCAAAACACTTATTTCTATACTGGTAACCTATAGTTCAATACATACATTTTTGACTTTTCTCTATCTCGGAAGCAATTAAATATTCTTTACGCGATTAAGCGTCCTAGTAGCGACATGTTGATTTAAGGAAATGTGACTATTGCCTTA